AGAATTCCTCCGACAAATACTTCACATTCACAGATCAGATGATACTGTGAGGTGAAGGTGTACTATGTAGTCTATACTGGTGTGTGAACATACTTGTATAGGTTAAGAACAGTGCGTATATTTCAATTTCTATTTTTAAAAAGATGTCCATTTTGATCTACAATAATGTTTATTAGGCAGTAACTGGGAATGTAAGCACACCCTCTCCTGGTTGATAATGGTATTGCGTTTTTTTTTTCTATTTAAATAGTTCAGAATGTATTTTGTTTACTATATTTACTTCACTTTTTGGAAATTAACTAAGTACGAGTCATGCTTTTTAGTTTCAGATACCTAAAAAGTAGACTAGTTATCTTGCTTTATCTCAAGAAAAACATGTGTCTAATGTCTAAAAGGGCACATAAACTACACTTAAAATTGTTTTGCTTATCACAGCTATTTCAAGTTTAATATTTGCTATTATTAGTGATTAAACAGATAATATTGTTCCACCTTGATTGGCATGTTAAGGTGATGTAAGTCTTGCTTTCACAAGAATCTGAGAACACAAAGTCAGACCGTGTCAAACAATATTATCATTGTGGATTCTCTGCATATGAGATACTTTCCGTTGGTGCAGTATAATCTGTGGAGGGTCAAAAGTCTCCAGAAAGCAATTTGTTAGATTAAATTATTTTCATTAGGCCTCAAGCATAATTTCTGTTGAGTTATTACATAAAGTCCCAAGTCTCCCAGGAATTGGACCGTCCTCCCTCCCCTCCTCTTCCCCTGGACTAGGCCTCTAAAAGGAATCTCCAAAACTCCCAAAAGAGCTGTGGAATGCCTGCCCAGAGAAATTCCTTCATGCTGCATCAAAATGTGTGCGTTTAATGCAATCTAGGAGGTGCACAATATAAAAACAGTCCATATGTAATGACAAGTGTGAATAATTTGATCTGCTATGTGAACTTATTGCTTGGAAATCGATTTTATCCATTTAATATAGGGGATGAACCAAGAATAAATTAAGAAATACCACATCTCTGCCAAGACGCTTGCCCTTAATAGGTAAAAAATATAGGGCTCATACATGGACTAAGTGTAAGAATCGTATAGTTCAGGGAAAATTGCAAACCAAGTCTCAAAACATGGCTGGGGTTTAGGGAAAAAAAATAAATCTCCAATAGAAAGATGTTGATTTAAAACCTAAAAATCATTCCAAGACCAGTCAAAATTACAGATTTCTTGCATACAAACCACTTCTAAAGTCAAATCCATCACAACCATGAAACAAAGGGTACAAAAAGCTCTCAAATCTGGGCAATTGTTTATTTACGTTTTGATAAATTGCAATGTTGACTTTTTCCACTTCAAAACGATCTGTCTTTCAATGTGAACTCCTTCTACATGAACCAGTCCACGTGGCCTGTTCCATTTCTCCACATGGCCGATATTAACTTTCTTAAACTTCCCAATTATGAGGATGAAGCTGGAATGACTGCATTGGCACGGAGCACGCATTCCTAGTTCGGATCCCGACAGACGCTGGTAAAAATGTACATATGTGGTATGTCTCAAACCTGCAGGGAGGACGGCCTTCTCTTTTCTGTGGACATTAATTTAAATTGAGGCTAAATTCCGGGCAACATGAAAAATGTGACAAATGCAAGACTCCCCTGTTACAGCGTGTCAAAAGATGAGAGCTAATTTGTTTTGAGAGGAATTTAGCAGGACCTTGGTGCGTTATATAAGGTCATAACACGCTAAAGGTTTACCTGACCTCATTAATCAGGTTAACTTGTTGGATTCAGATTCAGAAAGACAGTTATAGACAGTTATAGCAGTGGGTCAAGCCAAACTAAAGATTCTGAACTTTGCTCAGGAATGGGACTGTATGACATTTCCACAATACAATACCAGTGACCAAAAATATCATAGTTTTATATTATATCATGGAGTTGTGTATTTTAGTTATGCAAAGGATTGCTCTTTGGTTATGCTCTACTTTACTGTGCAGAGGTGTGACAAGCAGGCAATTATACATAGTAAGATACATGACTAGGATAGGCATACTTTGATTGAAATAGACTTCAGACTATTCCCTCCATCTTATTTAAACGATGTGTGGCATGATCGACATAAATGACGATCAGACAAACTGTATTCACGAGTTCAAGGATGTGGAGGAGCCTTGAACCTTGAACCTGGGCTTCTATCAATACCATCAGAAGCCAACAATATTTGCACAATATTTATATCATGGCATTTAAAGGCTGTTTTATATCTTACTTTTGTCACGTCCCTATACACGAGGATGGATTCAGTTAGACATGTGCGCATCAGTGTGTTTCCATCATTATACATATTTTGGAAATGAAAGTTTACAGAGCGGGATGATTTGAGCACACTGGGTTATTGAAGGAATGCAGAGAAAATTGTATTTAGTGCAGTTATGAAATTAAGTGTAACCTCAAGAATATGAGGTACATGGATTTATGTAAGATGCTAAGTAGAAAATATTCTAAGCTTTCAGACAGGACGTGTAGAGGAAGATCAAGGAGAGATTTCTGAAAGTTTTGAGATAGGACATGATGTTTGGTTTCAGAGAAGAGGATGCAGGGGATAAGGCTTCTTAAAGATCCTATATTACGCAAAATTGACTCTTGTGAGCGTCAAGCCATGTTATAATGCAGTTACCTCCTCAAAAACTTTTTTTTGATTCGTTTTGTTAATATATGATAGAAAAAGGGTCACTCAGTCTTCTCCAAAGCTCAAAATACTGTTCCACCTTGTGATGTCATGAAGCAGCAGCTACACCTATCTTTTACCTTTTGTTTAGTTGTTTGTTTGTTCCAGGACTGAAATCCAAATGATTCTAGTGAAGGTGTATGATGTTTAAAAACACAGTGAAGCACTTCCTGGAGTCAGTTGAGTTTGTAGATTCCTGTAAGTATCTTGGAACGTTCTTTGATTCTAAATTGAGCTTTGACAATAATTGTACTGCTGTACTGGAAGTTGTTCTTCTACTGTGTAGATGGAACAAAGATGTTTATGAAATCAGTTTTATGTTTTTTATTGGTCTCATGGTTTGGGAGCATCTCTGCTAAAAACAAGAACTTCCAGAGTCAGTTGGTGAAATGGGTGAGTAGGTGATTGTCCATCCTCAGAGCCTGGACTCCCTGTACTCAAGGCAGTTACAGAGAATGTCCCAAAGAATTCTAAAAGACGTGCAACATCCACTAAACTTAGAGTTTCAGCTGCTTCCCTATGGTCAGAGGCTTTTAGTCCCAAGATCTAGAACAAATAATTTAAAAGAAGCTTCGTTCCAGCTGCCATCGTACTTATGAATAAATTGTAATCTATTTATCTGTCAACGTTAGTACATTGTCTTGGAAAAAATTGTGTGTTTTTTTATATATTTATTAATATTTATTGTTATCCTAGCCAAGCGTGATGGATGAATTTAATGATTTATTTATGGAACAAAGCCATTCTGCACTGGAGCACTGTAACACTTTATACTGTAATTGTGTTTTTATGTGTTCATTGTACATAATGTGGAGGAATGAAATATGAAATGTGGAACCAGCCTCTCAAATCTGCAAAAAAAATGATATATGAGTATGAATAAAGCATTCTAACCTAAACTAACCTTACCACATGACATTGTTTTCTGTTTGAGATATCTAAATATGTAGGGTTTGTGTGAAAAACATGCATAGATGAAACAAAACACAACTCCAGGTAGGTTTGTGATGACTGATGAGGAAACAACATTATAACTGTTTTTCTGTTGATCAGAAGTGTAACATGGGCCCTTTAAAAACTAACAAACAACTAGCACTAATACAGATTTTCTTAACACAGGCGTGTCTTTGACGTTAGTGACAGACTCGCACCACAGCATCAAATGGCATGTCTCTGCTCAGGTCACTCATGTCACCAGCTCTTGGCCAAGTCACTGCAAAAAATCTGGAGTATTTCAAACTTCTAGGTACAGCTTTTGACCCACACAGTATATAAGAGTAACAGTAATGCCTAAGTGATACAGTGTAGTAAAATAAAATGGTGGTGCAAAGAGATCAAATAATATAATAATATAATTCTTTTTCTATAACTCTTTATTCCTACATTCATCGGTCTCCTTAACAATTCTTAAAGGAATTAAAAGGTCACTGCTGCACCTTGCCTGTACCTGCACTTTACCTGTTTAACAGCATATTATTGTTATTATAATTCTTCCTTGTGTGAATGTTTTTAAGCTGCTGTCTGCACCAGAATTGCCCCTAAGAGATCAAATAAAAGAACTCTAAATCTAAGAATCCTCCTCCCACTTTTCCCTATTTCATGCAATTTTCAAACCAAAACTTTACAAACTGTGATTTAGTCCAGTAGATCATTTAAGGAATTGCTTGTAAAATTTAAGAAGTATTGAGCTGATGATAATTTGTGCAAATACATTTACAATTGCACATCTGTATTTTATAATTCACTGAGCATATTTCATTTTTGTATTTTTGCCATGCTTCACACAACAGGCCTTGTTTTGGCCTTAAACTAGAACACTGTTTCTGGTATGCCTCACAGAAGGATACCATTTTTGCCAACTTTTTTAGTGTAATTGGAACCACAATTTCTTCTCTGTGCCCAAAAGCCCAAACGTAATCCCCCAAAAATGCACATCTGAATGTTTTTAAGTAGCTGTTTTCCATTTTAAGGCCTGAAATGTATCTGGTATGTGGCACATCTTTTCCAGGTGATGTATTGTTCTGGTCAGCAGTTGTTTAAGAAATGCAAGAATGTAATCAATCAGATCGGATTCAACTAAAAAAAAAAACACTGTACCTCAGCAAATGCCAGACGTCCAATGACTCAGGATCATATGACTTTATGCCTTAAGTATATTTCAAAGTTTTAATATAACATGAAATCAGATGAATTTGCAATCAGTTTTAGACTTGGATGAAAAAAGTCCTCCATTCTATTTCTATCTTATCATTATTAAATTATGTCAAACTTAATACATCTTGTGTTTTTATTAAAGTTTCAAATACTGTGGATATTAAGCAAAATGCATTGGTTGAAATGTCAGTTCAAAATGCAATAACAAGATAATAAAATACATGCATGTGTTCTTCTCTTGTCAGGAATATTTATTAAGCACTTCATCTTGTCCTGCTCAGTTTTCAATCACTAACTGTTTGTAGCAGTAGGTTCCAATGTTACGATGGCACTGGGCAGGTACTTAGACACAGTCCTTGTATTGTTCTCCGTCATATTTTGGATGTGAGAGTCCAGTATCTGCAGCAGCTCTTTGGACCTTTGGCTCTCCTCCTCCAGGAACCGAGAAACCATCCCACCAGAAGGAGACTCCTGGGAAAAGAAATTAGATACTGTACAATAAAAACAATGGATTCTCTTAAGGGAACAGGACTATATACTTGTACATTATATTCTTTTACTAGTATAGTTCTCCAAAGGTACCAAGCTGTACACAAAAACTAAAGCTCCAAATTAAACTCTTTTTACATTTGAATACTTTTCTTTACCTTATTACAACACACCTGCAAAACTAGTAGTGATACTATTGCATTACTGAGATGTCAGCTCTTTTAACATGTGGACATTAATTTAAATTCTGGCTTAATTCTGGGAGACTAGAAAAATATGACAAAAGCAAAACTCCCCTGTTACAGAAAGTGTCAAAGGATGAGAAGAGCTAATTTGTTTTTAGAGGACTTTGGCTGGACCCCGGTTCGTTATATAAGGTCATAATAAGCTAAAGGTTTACCTGACCTCATTTATCAGGTTAACTTGTTGGATTCAGATTCAGAAAGACAGTTACAGACAGGAATGAGTCAAGTCAATGCAGGGGGCAGAGCAAAAGATGTTGAAATTAATTTTGCTCTTGAATGGAACAGTATGAAATTTACACAGTACAAAAACAGTGACCAGAAATATCACAGTACATGTATAAATAATGATGCAATGATGATGAAGTGTTCAGCCAAGTCAAGTCCTTGTTTTCTTCTACTTATCCTCCTTTCTTGCGTTCAATAGTTTGTTTACTTACTGCCCCTATGGCCCTCTCTCTTGTATTTGAATGTGCAGAGCCCGGGCCCTCAGCAGCAGAGTCACTGGAGGCCGAGTTCCTCCTGCCCAGGTTCAGTTCGGAGGAGTTGGAAGAGGAGGGCCGTGACCGGGCTGGAGACTGGGTCCGGCTGTCCTGAGAGCTGCTGTGGGACGGTGCTGTGGAGGTTTGGGGTTTGACCTGCAGACGACTGAATAGTTGCTGGATCTCCCCCTCATGGCTGGAGCCACTGCCAGGTTCCCTGGTTTTCCTTTGGTCAGTTTGGTCCCTGAAGGCATAGTAGTGCATGGCTGTCATTACTCTTTGTATCTACCGTAGGCATCTAGGCTCTGTAAACTATTGTTGCACATCTCAGTATTGGTATTTCACATTTTAGAACAGGGGTGTCAAACTCATTTTGGTCCGGGGGCCGTATTCAACCTACTTTGATCCCAAAGGGGCCGGATCAGAAAACTCATGGCATATAAACCCCAAAAATAACAATAAGTTCAAATATTTGTGCAGAGAAACACAAATCTATTACAGAAATCTTTTTTAATTGATTAACTCTTTCTTTTACAAAATATTATAACATTATGAACAACCTGAAACTTTAAGAAAAATGTAATTTCAGCACAATGTTTTAACATGAACTTGTTTGCAAATCGTAATAAGTCCATTTTTGTTGTAAAATCCTGCACTCGGCTCCACTTTTCTCATGCTGGACATTTTTCTGATGAGGGTGTCACGGTCAACAGTCAAAACGATCGTTTTCGTTTCAGAAAATCACCAATATTTTAATAGAAAATATAATTAAAATATTTTAGTAGAAAATCAGCCGAGGGCCAGATTAAAAGGTCTTGGAGGGCCGGATCTGGCCCCCGGGCCGCATGTTTGACACCTGTGTTTTAGAACATACAAAATTATGTATTTGCATGATGGGGATACGTATTCAAAATTCTGCAGTTGCCAGCACAAGGCAGAAAACTGTAGATTTGATTAGTATAGCAACTTCTAAATCAGACTTAATACTAGGGTTGTAACAATACCCAAGTCTCGATACGATACGATATCGTCACAGTATGAACCTCACTGTACGATATTTATTGCGGCATTGTGGGAAAGCTCACGATATGGTGGGGAGGCTCACGATTAGGAATGTAACAATATACAAATCTCTTGGTACGATGTTTTCACGATATACATCTCATGGTATATTTTTTTGCGATATTTTTTGGAGGCTGACAAAACTGTTAATATGCTACTTTTTCCTCTTAAAATGCCTTGACAAGACTTAATCCAAAGAACTAAGACTTAAAAGTGCTTAGAAATGTTATTTCTTCATGTAGTCTACACTGAAATGGAGCAAGGGATCATGGTCTATGTAGTTCCCTCTGCCTTTTTTTTAGCTATTGCTGCACCATAACTCTTAATTTAAGCAAAGAGTCTTGTAATTCGATATATTGTGATGGTCCACGATATTATTGTGAGAACTTTGACGATACGATATCACAATATTTCGGTTATTATTACACCCCTAATAATACGCCTCAATGTTGTAACATGGCATGGTCAGTAAATTCATCTTGCCTCCTACTTCATGAGTGGAAGTGGCTTTGAAATCTGAATCTATTGAGTCATAAACCTTTGTGTTATCCAATCAATAAAAAGTTAATATTGTTAATTATTTAGTCAGTTCTGGTGTAACTCTTGTATGGAGAGTACCTTTGAGCAGCAACGTGCAGTTCTTGACTTTTTGAACTGGAGGCACTTAGTTGGCTCTGCACGTCCCCGAGCGCCTGCCTCAGCTGTAGATTCTCCTGCTCCAGAATGCTTAGTGACGAAATGTAACTGTCCCTCAGAGCTGCCAGGGATGGGTCCTCTCTCTGGAGATAAGACATGTTATACTAATAAATATTGTTAACATTTTTGAAAAGTGTAACAAACCTTGGGTGAATGAGAATCCTGGCACTGGAGTAGACTTTTCAGATGCTGGTTCTCTTCTTTCAGCGAGTCCAGTTGAGCCTGAGTCATCTGAGAAAGTCAGTGGCAATAAAACTAATGAATAAATCTCCAATCAGGTAAGCAATCAAGGGGTTTCAGAATGATAAGACATGATTGCCATAGCAACTGACAATTTATATATTATACATATTATCTTTTAACAATACCATATAATTGTAAGTTAAATTGTGGACTTCATGTAGAGTGAGGTAAAAAACCTTGACTGCTCATATACAGGGATATTTTGCAATCAAAACCTCACTCTTTTCATTCATCATCAAAACAGAAAATGCAAAGGCTAATGTCCTCATGGGGTCTACCTTGCCCATGCACATATTGGTTGGTATGTTCGTACTTTGAGCTGAGTTGTCCTCTGCTCTGATCTCTGCTGCTCCCCTTTGAGCTGCTCCCGGATGCTGCACAGGGAGCCGCTGTGTGTGGAGATGGTGCGGTCCCTCTGGTGGAGCTCACTGGTCAGCTTGGACACCTCTCGCCTCATGCCCTCCACCTCCCCACTGTGGGTCTGCTGGGCCCGCTGAAGCTCCTCTCTCAACTACAAGAGCCCAAAAATTGTTAGGACATTTTCTACCATCTCTAATTAAATCAGTGAGTAAAACATTTCAAATAAATCAAATTAAACTTGTAAGTTATATAAACCTTTTTCATTTCTGCAGTGCATGACTCATATTCTGCTTTGATACTTTTCAGTTCTTGCTCTGTCTTTGATTGGTCCTCTTTCCGTCTGCTCATCATCTCAAGTCTAAAACATTGAAATAGGCAGTTAGTAGCATACTCATTTGAACAATAATTTTATAAGTAATAGTAAAGTCTCTGTGGTCTGTTTATACTTGTTCATAAAATAGTCCTCACTTCTCTTTCAGACATGACAGTTCAGCCCTGAGCTCAGCCTCACTGGTCTGAGCGCACTGCAGTTTGGCGGTGGTCTTCTCCAGATCCAACCTCATGGTCTCCACTCCTGCACCACCATGAGCCGCCAGACAGTCCTCCAGAGAGCTGTGAAGGAATATATAGTCATTTCTATTGAAGACAGTACACTAACGCTGTACACTGTACACTGTACTGGTAAACAGTGCCCTCTTGTGTATCATTCTGGTACTTCACTCTCAGGTTTTCTCACCGTATGACTTGATCTTTAGCCTGCAGCAGCTGTTTGAGTCTTTCAGCCTCATTTTGAAACCTCTGCCGCTCCAAACTGGCACGTCGTAAAAATGAATCCTGAGAGTCCAGAGTGGCGTGGAGCTCCTCTCTTTCCTCAGCATGCACCTAGAGAAAACAAACAAACTACTTTTTATCATCTAATCATCAACTTTTAGTGCCAATATTTTAGTGCTCTCCACATCATCCTGACCCTTTTCTCCCTCTGGTACTGTCCCAACCACACCTCCAGAGGGCGCAGCCGCTCCAGCTCCAGCTCTTGAGAATGAAGACTGTCTTGGGCTTTCTCCAGCTGAGCTCGAAGACGCTGTAGCTGTGAACAACACTCCTTGTGTTCCCGCTCCTTTGGCAGTGACCATTGGGACTAAAATAAATCAAAGAAATTAGCTTTACTTTAATAACACCTATAAAATCTTACATTGGAAATAAGTAACAGGGATTTAACATTTGGCAGACCTTTATCAGTTTGTTTTTTTTTTACCCCAAATGACCATGTATGTGTATGTAGAATTTAAAAATGTATATTTGTGTTTCCGCTACTAATTCTAACACACAAACAAATAGATTGTGTATAATTAAGAAATAACATAACTATGTTTGTCACATTTCCAAAAATTTTTAATAATACACATACTGTTTCAAATACATTACCACTTACTTTCAGAAGAGAGATTTCTTGAATCAGACTCTTGTTCTGTGTCTCTAATGTGACGAGTTGCTTTTGGTATTTGACGCACTGTTGTTCCCAATCTGCGGAGCGCCTTTGATGTTCCTGTACAGATCGTACATTGTACATCAATACAATAGTTTAATAGTGGACAATATGACAAGAAAAGACCACGCACCTCAATCTTCTCCTTGAGTCTGGACACTTCTGAACTGTCTGTGTCTTTTGCTCCAGTGCTGTCTTGCTTCACATGTTTGCGCTGAAGTTTCTGGTAACTTCTCTTTAATTTATTTAACTACAACAACAAGACAACTATTATTACACAGTGCATTACTCTCAAGATTTTGCAGAGCTATACTAAAAATATACAGAGATACATTAAGGTTTGTGTGTCTAAATACACAAGACACAATTCCTTTACCTCTTCACGGACTTTTTGCAGTTGTAGTTCATACTTTGAAATAAGTTCTGTTTTTGTAGATTCTTGCTGTTTTTGAAGTATCGACATCTGCCATATGTATATTAAAGGTTTAGTAATGTTATAGAAGAGATATAATTTAGAAAAGAAAATATAGTCAAACCTCCAGCTCCTTCCTCTGTAGCAGCTCTCTGGAGGTACACAGTTCCTCCTGGACAGTCTTCAGCTGGACTTGAGTGGTCTGGATCTCTGCTTCCCACTGAGTCCTCTGCTGACTGATCATAATGTCTATCTGCCGCATCAGCTCCTGCAGCTCAGGCTCACAGGACGAAAGCACCAAGCTGAGAGGCAATGATAAGGTTAATAACAGGGAAATATATTTGTTAGTGTTTCTTATTCCAATCTAAACAGAATGCAAGCATAAATAATGATTATGCACAAATAACAGTGTAACTAACAGAACATACTCATTTATAAATAATATGGAACATTATATATTGTATTCAATTAAACAGTTCAATACTTGAGAAAGCAAATGAGTTTAGATGACTGTCTTCCACATACCTCAAATCAGGATTTTGAGATCCCAAGGTCTCCATCTCCAAGGGTTAACTAGTCTCACCTCTAATAACAATACAGTGTTAACATGTAGAGGAGGATGGTAATAAAAAACATAGGCAGTTTAACAACACATCTCCCAGTTTAGTTAATTAGCAACGTTAGAGCCAAGACAACAAGAGAAAAGTTGGATGAAAGTGAAGAATTAACTTTTTCCGGACTGCAAGTGAAGCGATTGCCTAGCACATATTCTCGACAATTTAAAAAACGAATAACCTAATATAGTTATGGTAAAATCACAGTATAATTTCTATGTAATTAATTCCAAACACAACGCTCATGTCAATGTTCTTATCATTTCCTGATTTGTGGCGGTAGCTCCTCCCATAATGATGAGCTCATGACGTTGTGCGTAACAAGAAGCGGGCGATTTCTGCAAACATCTAACTGAAGTTGGCGGGTTATTTACGTGGATCTATGGTTATTTATCAAAAATCATCCTTCCAAAGCATGAACATGAGTAGATTACATTTGCAGGTATGTACAAGAAATGGAGGCCCCGAAACGTCACGATACAGTGCCGTATGTGTGCAGTTTATCGGCAGTGGTCATAATAATTTATTAATTTAACGATTTGCTAGTTCTGTCGAAGTGTCTATCGCAATACAATATGACAATTACAATCAGAGCTATCAAATGACGGTATATGATCACGATGTTACAATTTGTTATAACACTTTTTTCGTCACGTAGAGCACGTGGCTCGTTGGTCTAGGGGTATGATTCTCGCTTCGGGTGCGAGAGGTCCCGGGTTCAAATCCCGGACGAGCCCACTCTTTTGAAAAAAATAAATTGCCTACTCGTGTTTAGGGATATTGTTATAGTAAACTAATTTCCGTATGTTTTGATGTTTACGCAAATTATTTACCTACATTAAGAGTATGGGATAACGCTCCATTCTTAGGTTACGTCACATTGAATAACCCAGAGGAGCTCCACTGATATCTAGTCTCATGTGAGTTTCTCTTGTTATTCGTTTCTTTGGGTTATTTTAAAAATTGAACAATTCGTTTTGCGTCATATGCCGACTGTAAACATCTAAATATCTACTGCAGAGCGTTGGAAGTGTGGCTCGTTGGTCTAGGGGTATGATTCTCGCTTTGGGTGCGAGAGGTCCCGGGTTCAAATCCCGGACGAGCCCAGTTTTTTTCATTTTTACTTTTTTACTTCAACGTTTACGTTTCGTTGATTTTTTTTAAAAACGTAATACTTTTACCTATTTAGATTTATGTAGCTTGTCATATAACCAAACCAGATAAATAGTAGACATGGAGGACACGCCTGCCCTCCTGTCTTTAATCCCAAACTTCCCACGCGCGTTTCCCCATCTGCCCTCTGTCAGTGAACAAAGCGCGTCTTCCCGGTTCTCCAGCTGTTCTGTGTTGTGTGTTGCGTGTGCTGCTCTATGGGGCTGCTGGAGGCTGTGGACAGGAGGAGGAGAGACGGGAAGAGAGACGGACACTCCGGTATGTCCCGCCCCCGTTCACATCACGCACACTCGGCCCTGGTAGGAGGCAGACGAGTTTGGCTGCGGCTTTCCTCCGTCAGTTCGTAGGAAGCAGCTCCGCTAGGTGGAAACTGGGCCCAAGAGCAGTGGGCTCTGGGAATGAACTTTCCCCAACTTTAGAAGTAAGTAAGATGGACTATATCTTTCCTATCAGCCTATTTACTTTATTTTATTTTATTTTTTTGTATAAAATCGTAAACTATTCTTAATGTATTTTATTAATTTATAAATAAGCAGCCTTTTTACTATTGTTTGTAAAAGTAGTTTACTATTGGGCAATCTATCTTGTGGATCAGTGACATCTATCTAACCTTAATATGTTTTTAGTAGTTTGTTCAGTCAGTTTGTTTGTGTTTTCATTTTCTGAATTTCCTGTACTGTGATTCAGAGTTCATGTAATCCTTCAGCTTTATGTCAGTACAAATCATTTACATACAGTTTAGCCTGGCGTGTCTTGTGTGCGACTGGCTACTGTGACCACCTAATTTTTCTTGTGGATCAATATAGTTAATCTAATGCGGAGGTCTAAAATATAGGTTTATTGATCTGTGTTCTATTTAGAGGACCCATATTTCAAGTTTAGTTTGATAGATTATTTTGGTGGTTTCATAGACATTTTTTTACAGTTTTAACATATTTAATGTTTGTTATATTAAAAGTTAGAACAATTAGTTCATCATTATCATGAATAATGTATGTTAATGTATGTTGAAAAAATAATAGTATGTTCCTAAAGTTGATATTTTTACATTCACATCATTTTCTTTTTTATATTTTTTAGAACATACTTTGAGCCATATACAGTAGAAGCTATAAATGAGTGATGATTAATAGAAATTGGAGACAAGAGAAATCTGAATGAGGTCATGTCATAATTACTTGTCTGGTTTGTTAAGTCTTCTAAGCAGCAGCTGTCATGGGTTGCAGGGTTGTTGCAAACATTTAACTATTTACCTAATAATGTGTGTGTTACTGCATATGGTCTTGATATTGTATTTTGTTTATTTTTATAGAAAGAAGCTTCCTGGTGCCTGAAAACTGTCATTTTCGACAATCATCCCTTCTCAGCATCATCTTGTCTTTACTTTGCATGGTACTTCTTATATAGTATTACCAGTTGACTTACACCATGGTTTTATGTGAGGATATAGAGTGCAGTGTGTGCCTTTTACCATACACCCGTCTGGAGCGCATCCCTCGTCTGCTGCATTGCCTGCACACGTTTTGCCAGCCTTGCTTGGAGACGCTCTCTCAGTCCCGGGTCGGCCTCATCACAGTGAGCTGCCCCCTCTGCCGCCGGGTCACCTGTGTGGGGCAGCGTCTCGGGCTCCAGGGGGCCCTGTGGGTGGATAGCAGCCTTTGGGACCAGATTGAAGAGGAAGACAAGGAGGAAAAAGAAGAGAAGCACCGGTTCAAACAGTATGGGACCTTAGTTGGATCAGGCAAAAAAGAATCATCGTGGTGGGTCTGAACACAACATACCAGCTTCTATTTCCTGCCTCACTGTTGACACTATCCATAAGGGAGAGTGACTTTGAAACCTGCCACCAAGACTGTATGTACACATATGACCTCATGATAAATTTAGCTGCTGCCCTTTGACCTCTGAGTGTTGCCTAAACTTCCAAACTTTTTCTGCAAACACAGGAAACGTGTCATAGCTGCTACTGTAAATTGTAAACAGTGAATGAGTGAGAGTACCTTTTAGTACTCAAGTAATCAAAAAACTTCAAGTCTGTGATATTTAAAATGTAAACAGGAAGAAATATTGGCATAAGCCTCGTCCATTTCCAAACTAAAACAACCAAGAAAATAGGCACACCACACAAGATATCACGTTGGCTCGTTATTATGTGAAATACAGTAACATTTTGCAAAAGTTTTATCTACCACAGAAATTCCAGCATTCCAGTGGAACTTAAAGTAACTAAAATGTGTCTAAATCAGGACAAACTCGAAACAGTATGTCAACAAACCAGGCCTAAACCAGGATTATGCATTCTCTACATGCCATACTTATTTTGAACAGGGCTAAAACAGAACTAAACCTTACCAGGCTCTACATTAGAACAAGTCACTTTATGTTTTTGTTGTTAGTGTTGACACATTTCATGCTTTAACTGTTGATACAAACCCAGTGATTACTCAGAAATAGAATACACAAACCCATGAAGTAAATACAAAAGTAATGTTAATTTGTTTTCATCTGGTACTAACATCTTATCAGATTTCAATATTGTTTAAATATGGAGACAAAAGCCGGTTTCAGAGGCACACATTTTAATGTTATTGATGGAACACAAAGGTCAGATAGAGAGAAACGCTGAGTAGTTCTAATATTTGCATTTATGTATTCATTAACCAACAAAATTGCAAATAAAAAACATTTAACATTTAAACATTAACACTAAATATATGGGTTACTAACATGATTGAAAATAAGTCCTTAATATAGTCTCTTTCTCTTCCTCAGCCTGTTTGGCAGATCCTCCAGGACTAAGTTGAAGTTCCCCGCCTTTTTGAAACGCTTCACTCTGACAAAGCAGCAACAGGAGCAGATCGTCCCTGGCAGCAACGTGTAAGTTCACACCTGCTCTCAGACCACCATCTTTTAACAACCAGGAAGTCCATAAACCTGCTCACTATCTTTTGTACCATTTTACGTTCACAGGGAGATGAAATCCTGGCGTAGGCTTTCTACCGCAGATGATTTTTGAAACCTTTTGGTAAACTTTTAAGGTTTTTTTTTTTTTTTTTGTACTTTTGCGTCAGTCTCGGGACCTCCTAAATCAGCATAGAGGAGCAGTGGAGCAGGACCCAGAGCCGTTATGTGGATCCATTTGTAAAGCTGTCAACAGACGCCATTGTTCCCAGCCAAAGGTTTCCCCATTATTTATTTGGGACTTAATTCTGCCAGCTGCTGCTTTGGGATTGGGTTCAGACGACTCCCCAGACCACAGATGGTCTCCTGAAGACGCACACAAATGAACTGTAATTATTACTCTCCCTACTTAAAAAACAGAACAAAACAAAACAAAAAAAACACTGGTACAGTATTTAATAAAAGTATTTTTCTTCACACGTGTCAGTGTGTTGGAAGATTCAAAGGTGACATCAAGTATTACAATTTCTGTTTAAATTTCACTCAATGGAGAGATTAGTACTGGATGTAAAACATTATTAAAGAATAAGTAGTAAAAGTTGTTAATGTATTACTTTTGTATACTACTACTTTTACTTTGAAACTGTATTGTTATGCATCGCAAAGAAAATCAATCCAGAAATCAAAAAGTGGTTTAATCCAAACTTGATAAATACTTTGTACAGTGGAAGTTAAACTAATAACTTTTACTGTACATTCTTTGTTAGATACATTTTTAAACCACTACTAGATGTACTACAATTACTATTACTACCCTAATTACAACCTGCCTGTTTCAACTACTTTGTAATTTTCATGTCAATACATTGAACCATGTTTTCTAAGTTAATTATAGACTATTGCTTGAGCTATTTAGTATAATTATTATAAAATGCAGGGTATTACTCAAATGCTGCAATATTTTTTACCACATCACAACACTGACAATGATTTTAGCTTGGAACACCTCTATTATATTCTTGCTTTATGTCAAATGACAATGAATCATGTCCAGTTATCCTGACATCTGAGTATTAATTACACCGGGGACATGTGGTCAGTGAAATCAGTGAAGGCAGTGGTATAAGTCTGAATATCACAGTGCAAATATTATCTTTGTGTTGGAGATACAGAACAAACACGTCTCACAAAAGAGTCGCCCGGCCGCGAAATCGGATTAAAAACTGCATTCACCGGGCATCAGCGAGCATCTGGCAAATCTTCCACAACCAAAATATTAAAATAGTCCTCATCACTTTCAGAGGCGTCTATTGTGTTGCCATATGGTCATACATCAGAAAGAGGCGGGGCTCAAAGTATTAGAGTATAAGAAGTGTGGCTATAAATGAAAGAGGACGTACGCTTAAAGTTTAGGCTATGATTTGAGGCATTGTAGTTGTATTAAGGTCACTTTGCTTGCTTAAAAATGGGTCAGACACTCAAAAAACAACACGGTATATTCTAAAGATAAAAGTTTAAGTAAAAAAATTCAATACATGTTTGAAAAAAATGACTGTAGAAAATAAATACATACATTCTAGTCTCATTCTAGTAACGTTATGTAGCCAAAACTCTTTTCAAAACTAAAATTAACCTAACCCAATGTATATCTAATTGGACAGAACAGATATTTCCTTGAAGTAAAGATAAATAAATAAAAATAAATCACAAAAACAGGAGTTAGATAAACTAGTCTAATAGATAATCTATTAGACTTAGATAAACTTTATTGACCCACAAGGGAAATGACTTGGCCACAGTAGCTCACCCATCACAATATATTACAATAACAAAGAGTAAAAAATGATTGTTGTTATTAAAGTGACATTAATGAAGTGCATGTGGAGTATTTTTTAACATACTAAATGCAGCTGGAGTCCCACCTTTGCTCTTCTCACAGCTGTTGTATCCAGGTCACTGTAGTCTCACGTCCGTTAGTCGTCACACTGGTTTGGGGCAGGGTCAGTCAGGTCACGAACACGCCTCCCAACTGTCAAACACACGGATGCTGTTTTCTGTACGCAAAATCTGTTCTCATGTCACTGTGCCAAATAGGAATGTTTCAATAGATGATTCCCATAGTTTCTGTTGATGAGAAAAAGGCGGTTCTGCTTGGGCTACTTTACAACCTCAAAAACTAGTGCTGACAACGTAAAGAGTGTAGCTGTCACAAAGCGTATTTTTACTGACCCATTAGCACCTGGTTAACAAAAGTTGTGTTAACTGCTTCTGTCTCCGGCACAGTGGAAAAAATGCTGTAAAAGCTGGTAGATATTTTACACAAGAATCTCACTATTCAAAGTTTTTTCTTATTTTACTGTTTTAAAGAAATGTCTTTTTGTATAATAACAGTGTTGAAATGTATTTTTGACACATTATTATTACACGTTTTTTTTTTTTTTTTGCTTCATTTTGTGGACATATTAGATACCCAAAAATTACAGAGGATTTTGTTGTCTTATTTAGACTACATCTTGAAAAGGGGAACAGAAATGAACATTTTGCCTTTTTTTTGGGGGGGGGGTTAAAAGTACTATAGATCTCAGTTCCATTTCTCTCCAGTGACTAGGTCAGGAATCGGAATACACTAAACGGTTTGCAAGAACCCCAGAAGTGCAAGTCCGGGCACCAGCCAATCAGCAAAGAGCCATTTATTCTGTGTCCTAATGCTGGTCAGACGTTTTCCAAAAGGTGAAACCGGCTGACCAGGCTACTATAGATCAGGCTTTGGCTTAGAATTAGTCTGCATATCAACATATCTTTCTGTATGATCTCTCAAAATCTTAAGACAAAAAGATTGGATAGTTTGGTACCTTTAAGTGCTGCTCTAAAGTTCTTTATGGCCGTATGGAGGATAAAATGTTGCAAGATGATGAAACTAAATGGCTAATAAAACATTTTTTGGTGCAAATTGAACCATTTTAACCACCTAAAAGTAAAGCAGTAACCCAGCAGGTCCCTCACAGCTTCAGTCTGCTGCACCCTGTGGAGATCAAAGACTCAACAGTCCTGGGAAAACAGTCGAATGCTAGTTTCGCTTTCGCAATACATGTAAGCCCGCTGATGGACATGCTGCTGCACATCTCTTGATTAAACGTACACCCACCCTATTTTAAGGGATAAGACTCAAGAAGACTTAGTAAAATCTAATTATAGATATCAAATGAAAACTTATGGGCTATATGAAGTAAAATATTACAAAATGCAGGTTTATTGCTACAGTGCCACCAACTCTAATGAAAATAGATTAGATTGGCCAATATTAGATAAATAATTCAGATTTTTCAATAGGTAAATAGGGAAGGGTCCTACCCCCATGATCTGAGCTGAGAGTGAAACCTTGCCACATTTTAAATCTGGAAATGATCAGTAAATAAAAACAGCCCATGATATTAGATCTGATCTTGTCAATGTGCCAGTCTGCTGATGTCTTGGCTTCTTAACTGTGATCAGGCTTTCTTCAGTTACATTCCTGTTGTATTTGTGGGTCATGTGTTTATTCATGCGGTGAGTTTAGAGGAAATGTGCAAACTGCTCATGGAGCAAGAGGCTTTCAGTAGCTCTAAGACCAAAATCCAGTAATACCAGATATGAAGGAAGTAGCCATCTGTTAGTCCTAAAAACATTTCTTAACTTACTTTTTCTCATTCAAAAGATGACTTATTTTCAAGTTTCAAATGGTTTATCACAATAGCAACTGTCCTAATTTTTCATCATTCTGAGACCCATGGATAGATCACATGCTTATGTCACGAAACAACACATTATTAAACACAAATAAATGGATCAAGTGTGTATGAGTTTCTCTGTTTCTCTAACTTGTACTTAATTTAATAATAGGCAACCTGTTGTAAACAATTTGCAAAGAAAAGTTGAAGAATATTTTAAAAATTGCAGGAATTTGAGTTTTCTAAAACATACTAATGACACAACATTAGGGAGAATTCTATCCAAATGTTTGACACAATTTACACACGAGAAACACATTTTTCTGATACTTTTAATTTTATTTCAACAATGTAGAAGTGTTTCAGTATACATTTATTTCTCAGATATTAATTTCTGTGTACATTAGTCGCTAGTGTGATGTAATGCCTACCAGGAAGTACAATTTTAAACCTAAAAAGTGCCAAACCTGGGAAAAATGTAATGTTCATCAAAATCTTAATTAGAATGATCTTAGCTGGATTTTAGTGA